ATGTTGATTGATATGTCATGTACCTTTTTCTGAATAGAATAAAAAATGATAAAATTGGATTTGTCAATGTTTAAAGACAACTTATTTGCACAAAGCCATGAATAAACATTCATTAGTTCATTATTAATAGTAGATTCAAGGCTCAATGAACTTTTATTAGAATAGAAAAGATTGCTGTCATCTGCAAATAAATGAAAAGAGAACAAGGTAGATGAATTGCACATATCATTAATGTATAGAAGAAAAARGATGGGTCCAAGGACTGAGCCTTGAGGAACACCACAGGTTATCGGTAGGGTTTTAGAGCAAACACTTCCAAGAGAAACAAATTGCTTTCTGTTATGCAAATAAGAAGAGAACAAAACCGAGAACTAAACCGAGTTTTCTGGAACTTTCCGATTGGAATTATGTTTATTATTTGTTTTCCAACCGGGATTTCTTGTTTTCCCTGCTAAATGGTAAGTACCCGTGAACTCTATTTCTTATTTCTTGTATCAGTATGGTTTGGAAGATGGGAGGGAAGTAGGGTGGGAAATATTTATTTTATATAACTCTAAATTAAATGCTTTTATATATAATAGTTTTAAATTTTAGGAGTAGTTCTTAGTTTTTAGTTAGGTCCACGTCAGCTTTGTTAAGTTGCCATTTTAAATTGTTTTTCTGCTTTATTGTTATGCAAATGGAGTAACCCTCGGGGTGCACTAAAATCGGGATTGCGAGCCAAATATATGTATAAAAAATTCAAATGTTGTTAGACTAAATTCTGATATATCACTTATATAAATATGTCTTAGCATAGTTGACTTGCATTTATGATAATTTAGTTTAGTCCTGAAGATGAACTGTTAAGTTCGAAAACGTTCGACAAAACTACTTAAATAGTAACCTTCAAATTATGTGATTTGACATTGGCAAATATGTCACTTTTTCCGTGTTTGCATAGCCTGATAGCAACATGAGGGGAGGTTGGGAAAATTCGAGACAGTTATGCAACCCCTAGATTACGTCTCGGGTTTAACGGAAAAAAATTGTTTCTTTTGTCTCTGAAGTAAACAACATCTCATGACCGTACCTTCAAAACAGACATACTCTGTTCAGTTTCAGAATTACTTGAACTTAGCTACCGCAGGAGATAACCAATAACGTCTTGTTCGAGTAGTAAATTTTGAGATGTCTCGGTTTTGCATCACTGTCTCCAATTCTCCCAACCCCCCGAGTGTTGCTATCAGGCTATGAAAACACAGAGAAAAAAGTTTTCTATTGGTTTTAAGCCCCGTTTACAGTAGCGATTTTTGAGGCTATTTTTGCTGCGATTTTTTATTTTTTATTTTTTATTTTTTTGCGATTTTGTCCATAATAAATAATGGTAAAGAATTTACTTGTAATTTATTTTTCAGAATACCAAGATTTTCCTAGACGAATGTCTCTTTTGAAGGATGACTGAGACAAAAGATTTCATATTTACGAAAATTGCCACAAAAATCGTTCTATAAATTAATAAATTCTAATAAATTCTAAGGGAAAACATCACCACTTGCAAGAAAATAAATCTTTAATTGAATTTGATTCTCATATCAAAATACAAATTCTCCATACATCACGAA